ACCATTCTCCATGTAATTATACACAAACAATTTCTTTTTACCTTCAGAGCAGAACCCCTGAAGGCGCACGAGATTAACACGGTGGATTCTCCCGAGTGTGCTAACTTCTGCTCAAAATTGCTTCTCTTCTTGGTTGATACTTTCAAGCTTTTTGCACTGCAATAAGAGACCAATGAACCCTCCACAACTTTTGAAAGCCAATAATATGTCTATGCCACTACCAGAATGCCATCAAAATAAGACCGGAGAGGATGAAAGGCAGCAATATCTTAAACAAGAATCACCTTTCGATTTTTCGCATTATGAAATTCTGAGGCTGCAAGCCTGACAAGGATTGTTCTTCCATTAATATCATCTTCAGACAACTGATGAAGATTCAAAAGATCCCTAGTCTAAATTGAACACATACCACTACTATAACCAAGCAAGGCATAAGCAATTACTCGAGCCGTGGAAACAGCCCCTTACCTAAATGTAGGATAAAGCTGTGTACAATAGATCCTTGTGGTCCGGCCCTTCTACGGACCCCGCACATAGCGGGAGCTTAGTGCACCGGGCTGCCCTTTAAACCGATTCACATTCTTTAACATTTGTCATCAAAGATCCAGTATCTTGAGGCAACCTTATGCTTTTGTACACAAAAGATTTATCCTTTTTCCCATTAGAGTTACGACATTGCCAGTCAGTTTTTCTCACATAACCACTAGAAAAATCCTTCAAATCTCGCTCTATATTTAATTTAGGCTCAAACCCAGTTAAGCAAGCACATAAATCTTGAGAATTTTAATTGCATATGCCAAATGCACCACAACAAGCATAAACATCACTCTGTACTTTGTTGTTGAGACCAAATCACGGTCCACTCTTTCGAACTATGTGACTAATTGACCAAATTAAATTGTTCTAGGGTATCCAATATGAATCTTTGTGTGCTTGAAGGAACGTGAGGGTAATACATAATATAGCCTCCTTTGTTATTGTTGACATTGTTATAGTAAAAAATTTGGCTATTCCTCGACTGAGGTAACAACCCTGAAACATAAAATTCCAAAATTCACTAGTCTAATATTGTTATGTTCTGTTCCAACTCAAAAACGACTTACTACCATTAGGTTCATGGTCATAACAAATAATTCAGGTGTAGGATCTTCTAAATTCTTGTATGAAGTAAAAACAGTTTTTACTTTTTAATGGTCAAACAAAAGCTTACTATAAGGCAACCATGTATCCATGGGATGATATAAACTTTTGCTAAATAGTAGGGGTGGGCGTAATTTGGGCAAACTCGAAATCCAAACAGAAATTCAAATTTTTTGAATTTTTGGATTATGGATTGGATTTGGATTTAATTTTTAAAATTTTTGAATTACAGATTGGATATTGTATTTGGTACTTTGAATTTTTGGAAATCCGAAAATTCGAAATTCTTATATTTGATATTTAGTCCATTATCTATATGTCAATAGTAAAAGTTCAATACCCTACGCATTAGATATTCTCTCATATATTCAGTATTAATTACTAAGTTACTGTGATCATACTTTCTATTTGGACATGGTCTTACTCTATCTACTTCTTATCAACCGTATTGATGTCTCTATTGTATTTTTTAATATTAATTTCATTACTTGAATACTTCATTTGGATGATTGCGGTGAGAATGAGGAACTTTTCAGGCAATATAACACAAGGATATTCATTTTTGTAAAAATAAAAAGCGTCTCAACTTATAAGCTCAAAACCGAAAATTCAAAATATCCAAACCGACTAATCCGAAATCGAACTTAAAAAATCCGATCCAATTCGAACTTATTTGGATTGGATTTGGATTGTCATTTCTTCAATCCGAAAATCGAAAATCCAAGCCGAAATTTTCATATGCAATTCGAACTGCTCGAACGTTCACCCCTACTAAATAGTATTTGATGTATCCATCTCCTAAAAATTAGATTACCACTATTAAGCAAGAGTGCTAATACAACAAAATTTGTAGCGGTACTCGAGTTGATATTTATGGACCAAATTGTAGTTTTATTTTTAGACATATTGTTTATAAGCACTAAGTTGCCATCTATGATTTTGAGCTTAGCAGAGTACTTTTCAAGAATTAGTGCCTTCTCTATTTGCTATCCAAATAATAACTATTTGTGGACTTAAATTTTTTATACTAAATGCCTATATAATAGTTGCAACTTTGGCCTGCAGATAGAAAATGATCAACAAAAATGGTGTCAACACCAATGGAGAAATGAGACTCTAGATAAAAGCTCAAAAAGAGCATGATAAAAGAGGGGCTCTTTCTGGCATCCATATTTAGCTGCATTGTTTAGTTCACAAAGATATAAATACAAATTAAGCAAATGTAACAAGTACTGAGTCGATAAATTGGACTTTCCAATAGAATAAGGAAAATGAATTTGGTTGTTGGCTTTCTTTAAATATTTATGCTTGAACATGACATTGCATAAAAATATTGAAGAAATGAAAACGACTTTCGTTTGGTTTTAGTATTAGGTACCTAAGCCTTAATAAATGTGATTCATACTATCAAACACATAATCATTGATAATGTGAAAAACTATCAAGAAACAAATAGAAAGTTTGAAATTAAGGATCAAGGACAAAACTTAGTAAATTTACCTGTAACACATGCATAAATAATCAGAGATCGTTTGGGTTGTGAATAAGTTATCCCCTTGTTATAATGCCGAGATTATATACATGATCAAACAAAGACGGAATTGTTCAGTGGATATACTTTTATTTGTAGATGTTTGATTTATTAGACTAAAGACGGAGTATAAAAAGCATAATATAAAACATGTGTTTGGTTGTACACTAAATAAACTTGAATAAAGTTTCATAGTTTTATTTTCAATTTTGACCTTGTCCGATAAGAATTTTGGATAAGTACATCTTAATTATTTTGACAGGGAGCGCTAGTTGGGCCCTAAAGCAAGTGAGAAAAAGAAAGCCCAAGAATTCGGGTGATTTTTAAAAATAGCCAGATTTACAACTGGTCGTTCAAAAATAGCCCAATTTTAAAAGTAATCGAAATTTAGCCACTTTTTATGTAAAGATAAATCTGAGCGAAAACACTGTTCAAAACCCGGAAAATACTCCAGTATATTATGCTGGAGTTCCAGCATAAGTATACTTGAACTCCAGCATATTATACTGGAGTTCCAGGATAGTATGCTGGAACTCCAGCATAATATGATGGAGTTCCAGCATAAATACACTAGAACTCCAGCATAATATACTGGAGTTCCAACAAGTATAATGGTCCGGTATAATATACTGGAGTTCGAAGCACCAGTGCTCCAGTCTCCAGTATATTATACTAGAGCCAGCAAAGTATACCGGTCCAGCATAATATGCTGGAGTTCATACACAAGTGCACCGAACTCCAGTATATTATGCTGGACCGGTCTCTATTGCAGCAAAATGGTGGCTATTTTTCATTGACTTGGTAAACGCTGGCTATTTTTTATTGACCAGTCCGAAAACTGGCTATACCGTGAAATTTTGGCCAAGAATTCTATTTGCGACTTGTTTTGAAAATGAACATTTACCTATCTATACTACATTATAAACTTATGTATCATACTCGAGAGGTTATCACGTAATTACATTAACGTATACAATTTATTATTTATATTTAGAATAATATGTTAGACTCCAATCTTCCTCATTGTCTCTCTTTCTCTTCTTTCTTCCCCAAATTCAAACCTCTTCGAACTCATTGACGATCCAACAATTCTCCAAACTTAACCATCAACTTTGCACCAATCAATTTCAGTTAGCATCCATTCATTCTTTTTCTTCCAAAATCAGTGGCTTCACCTGAATGCATTATTAGTAAAGTTATGCACCTTTTAGTCCGCCTCAACTAACAAAGAAGAATAATCATTAATATATATACAATAAAAGAACATTAATTGAACCTTAGTATTGCTTCTATACATCATCAGATCAAATGATCCATCAGGAGGTATAAAAGATATTGTGTGATCATTTTCAATCTAAGCCATCACACACCTGAACACCTGAATATGTCCACAAATGGATCATTTGAAAAATGAAATAACAGTCATTAAAGATCTCCATCGACAACCATTAAAAAGCTGAAGGTTTAAATTCAAAAACTAAATTTTGTGAAATTATTATTTGTTTAGATTGAGTGTTATATTTTAAATGATTGAGAATATTCTTTGGAGTTTATATCACAATTTTGAGAGAATTTGGTAAAATTCGAGTTGGTTTTGGTTGGAATTTCAGATTGAAACTCAAAGAAGAAGACACAAATAAATTGTATATATTTTGTATGTTGGATGTATAAAGAACATTAAAAATATATGCAACTAATATAATTGTAAATAAGTTGTATGTACGTTGTAGCTTCCTAGCTGGATTCTGTACAAAAAAACTATATACGAGTCGAATATAAGTTGTATGTAAATTGTAGCTTTTGATCGGATTCTATACAACAAAAAATTTATATATATTATATAGGAAGTTGTGGGGGTCGAGTATTAAGGTTGTAGGTTAGGAGGTAGTTGAGTCTTGCCTTACTAATACCTCTGTGAGACTAGTGGCAATGTTGTGTCTTACTATTTTTCAGTGCAGGACCTATTTACTAGCTATCGATTTTGCTTTGCATCTTTCTTCCGGATTTCATGTTGTTCCTATTTTTCTTGTGATTTCTGTTGTGATACTAATATTGTCTACATTTGTCTTTTTGTTCTCTTGAGACGAGGGTCTTTCGGAAACAGCCTCTCTACCCTTTCGGGGTAGGGTAGGGTCTGCGTACACACTACCCTCCCCAGACCCCACTAGTGGGATTTCACTGGGTTGTTGTTATTGTTGTTGTTGTTGTTGCATTATATAAATTTTTTTTAGCTACTTTCTGTAAATAGGAAAATAATTTCGTATATGTACGGATAAAACCCTTTGGAAAATAATTTGAGGAGTAAAGCAAAAAAATGGAAAAATAGAAATACAATTTCCTATACCGAACTTGGACATTGTCTTCTAGCTCAAAAAAATGACAAGAACTTGAGACCCATTAATCAGCGACGAGTTTTTCAGACTCGGAACTCGGACCGAGTCAAATGTCATCGGAACTCAAACCCTTATCGCCTTCAGAATGGGAAAATCTAATCGACGACTACAACCACGGCGGTGCGCGGCTTCTCCGCTGGACATCCACCAACTACGCCGCCGTTCCTCTCTTTAACCTCACACTTTCCTCAATCCTCCGCAAAGACCTCCCTCACAATCTCAAACTCCAACTCCTCATCTTCCTCGAAGAACAACGATACAACAACAAAAACGACACCGTTTCATCCACTTTCCTTAACCGTCTCCTCGAAACTCTAAGATCAGTCATCCAATCACCAAACGACGGCGTTTCAACTTCATTCGCGCTCAAAGAACAGTTTCTCATCTCGTCCACTTCGATTTTCATCAATTCCGTTAGTTTCCCGTTAAATTCTGTTAATTCGAATTTTATTACTCCGTTTGAAAGCTTAATTGAGCTTCTGTTGACTATTATCAACCGGCCGAATCATAGCGTTGACCGACAAACCCGGTCGATCGCCTGCGAATGCTTACGTGAGTTAGAAATTGCTTTTCCTTGTTTACTTTGTGAAATTGGATCACATCTATGGAGTTTGTGCCAAAGTGAACGTACTCATGCTGGCCAAAGCTATGTATTATTGTTAGTTACTGTTGTTTATAACATCGTGCAATTAAAACCTCATGTATCATTTAGTAATTCTTCGAGTACGTTGGTTCCGTTTAGTGTACCGAGGTTTTTAGTAGATGAAAATTGTAAAGATGCGGTTTTTGTAGGGGGGGAGTTGTCAGATTTGAGTAATAGGGAGTTAAGGAGAGTGATCTCATTTTTGTTTGAATGGCCACAAAATTTGACTCCTTGGGGTCTTTTGGAGTTTATGGATAAGACATTGCCAGTTGCTGCAGCTTTAGATTTGCAGGGGTCTTTGTTGAAGGTTCAGTTTTCAGGGTTGCTTTATACGTACGATCCTTTGTTATGGCATGCTTATTTAGTCATGTATTTAAGCTTTATGGACTCCTTCGAAGGGCAAGAGTTGGAAATCGCGAGTCGACTCTTGTTGTTATCGAAAGAATCTCAGCATCATTTGTTTTTCCGGTTGCTGGTGCTGCATTGGTTAGTTGGATTGATACGGTTGGTATTGAAGAGGGATGTGGAGAAAAGGAAGAATGTCGTTGATATGAGCTTGAGCTTTTATCCGTCAGTGTTTGATCCGCTTGCTTTGAAATCATTGAAGCTTGACTTGCTTGCCTATTGCTCTGCTTTGATGGATAATGAAAAAGGAGTAGTGAGTGCAAAGGGAAGTTCGGGAATGACTAAGGAGAAGTTACTTGAAGACGGCCTTGTTTGTGTATCAGCTTTTAAATGGTTGCCTCCTTGGAGTATGGAAACTTCTGTGGCATTTCGTGCTATCTATAAGTTTTTGATTGAGCAGTCTCACTCAGACAATGATTCTATCTCCAATAAAATCCTTGTGGATCCAACAATCTTCCACACTGTGCAGGTACAAATACTTAGATTCTGTTGTTCTGTATTTACTTTAGCTCTGTGGCATTGCTTCGACGCTATTGGTGTTTCATAAATAGGAAAATATTTATACATTCTTTGTTGCTGTGCTTCTGTAGTGCAAACAGTTGAGAGTTTTCTTCTTTTCCCTTTTTACTTTTATCTTGTAGAATTTGAAAGATGTAGGAGAATATGTTACCGATGAAAGAAATCTATAGGATAATTACAGGTCAAGAAGAGGTGCTCCAACACAGAAGATAAGAACTTTTGTGAAGAATCTGCATATAGCCTAACACTCCTACAATATATATCATTCATTTTGTCACTTTTGCTGCATAAAACTGGATTGGTTTCTTAGGTGTACTTGTTCTTCCTTCTATAGGTGCCCTGCCACGTGCGTAACTTTAAAGTCTATCTCCTCATTGAAATCTGGATGTTAGGAAAACTTAGGGGTGTGATTGGAGTTCGTCTTGAGGAGTTTAGAAATGAATGAGATGCGTCTCCTCCTGACATTTTACTTTATCTTATCAACAAAAAAAAAATGATGCATGTCCTCCTGCCTTAGCTATAGTACTGATACTCTACTTTGATTTTGCAAACGAAGCTTGTTTATTTTGTGCCTAAATGATTTGGAAGCTTGATTTTTGTTTGCAGAGAACACTTATAGACTCTTTGTCTGAATATAGAGGATTGGTTCCTGTCATTGTTGGTTTTACTGACCGCTTATTGACATGTCACAAGCACCGGTGGTTGGGGGAACGCCTACTTAAGACATTTGATGACCACTTGCTTCCAAAACTCAAGATAGATTACAAATTGGTATCTTACTTCTCTATATTGGAAAGGATTGCTGAGAGTGATAAAGTTTCTCCTAGTGGGTTAATGGAGATCCTTACCAAGTTCATGGTATTTCTTGTCGAAAAACATGGTCCAGATACAGGATTAAGGTCTTGGGGTCACGGGAGTAAAGTTCTTGGAATTTGTCGAACTATGATCCTGCATCAACATAGTTCCAAATTATTTGTTGGGTTATCTCGTCTTTTATCATTCACTTGTCTCTATTTCCCAGATCTGGAGGTTCGTGACAATGCCAGGTAATTCTATGAGAAAATCTCATCCTGTTTTCTAACTCATTCTGTTTGTCTGCACACATTGTTTATATCATCACATGTTCACCGCAAATGACAGATGTAAATGACATTGGGAAGTATATTCATCATTAAATTTGCAGGATGAAAATGGAGAAAAGCATTCAGTTTAACTTTGCAGGATGCTATTGCTTTTTAACATTCGGTGGTATTTTGCAGAATTTACCTGCGGATGCTGATTTGTGTTCCTGGGAAAAAGCTAAGAGACATTCTAAACAGTGGGGACCAGCTTCCTGGAATTTCTCCATCTACTCATTCCAGCTCTTTCTTTAGTGTTCAGTCTCCTAGAATTTCTCACGACCCTAAGAAATCTAGGAGTATTTCATCCTGCATGCATCTTGAGCGCGTGGTGCCATTGTTGGTTAAACAATCTTGGTCTTTGTCCCTGTCAACTCTGGGACTTGATGCCAAGAAACCTAGTTATATAGAACCCATCAAGGACAATGTGTCCCCAAGTGAGCAAAGTGAGTTTGACAAAATTACTGATGTTACAGTGATCTCTGAAGCCAATAGGTACAATCAGCCTCCGGAGCCATTACGTGTTATGGATTCAAAGATTTCACAGATTGTTGAAATCTTGAGGAAGCATTTTTCATTTATTCCCGACTTAAGACTCATGCCAGGTTTCAAGATTAAAATACCTTGTGCTTTAAGGTTTGAGTCAGAGCCTTTCAGTCGCATTTGGGGAATCAATATGCCAGCAAATGGAGTTGACACCCTTCCTGCCTTATATGCAACTGTGCTCAAGTTCTCTTCTGCTGCGCCATACGGCTCTATTCCATCATGCCACATTCCTTTTCTTCTAGGTCAGCCCCCCAAAAGTTTCTATTCGTTTAACCAGACAAATTCCCTTGATATTATCCCTGTGGAGAATGTATCTGAAACTTCTGGAGATGACAAAAGCTTCAAAGCTCCTGTTCTGATTGAATTGGAACCGCAGGATCCAGTACCTGGTCTTGTTGATGTTTTCATTGAAACGAATGCGGACAATGGTCAGATCATTAGAGGACAGCTGCATAACATTACAGTAGGAATTGAAGATATGTTTCTCAAAGCTATTGCTCCAGAAGACATGCCTGAAGATGCAGTATGTCGATATTATGTGGATCTGTTTAATGCCTTGTGGGAAGCATGTGGTGCATCAACCAGCACTGGGCGGGAGACATTTGTACTTAAAGGAGGCAAAGGGGTTGCAGCAATCAGTGGTACTCGCTCTGTGAAGCTATTGGAGGTTCCTGTGGCATCTTTGATCCAAGCCGTAGAGCGATCCTTGGCACCTTTTGTTGTATGTGTAACCGGTGATCCCCTAACTAGCCTCGTGAAGGAGGGAGGAGTTATAAGGGATGTTGAGTGGAATGAGGTGACTTTGGGTACCTCTTCTACTGATGATACCATCTCAGAATCTAGTATAGTTGGGGGGCCACTTTACCTCAAGTACAAGGATGATGAAGATGAGGGAGGGGGTTATGTCCAAATTAGTAAGAAAAACCTTGGATCCATTCAGATCTTAATATTCCTTCCACCAAGATTTCATCTCCTTTTCCAGATGGAAGTTTCTGATACTTCTACATTAGTCCGAATTAGAACGGATCACTGGCCATGCCTTGCTTATGTTGATGACTATTTGGAAGCTTTATTTTGCTAAAGCAATTTGTTCTTATCCTTTTCACTCTCCTTATTTCATTGACAGTCGCATTCTTTTTTCCCATAGTTCACCTGTGGGCTTGTGATATTTACCCAATAATAGGTCTGTTGTAAATGCTTCTCGCAAGAAACTTCCTGGTAAGACTGTAAAGATTGTAAACGACTTGTATAATGTTTCTGATGAGAGCTGGAATGTTGCAACTTCTTTTCTCTTGCAATAATAGTACTAAAAGTTTCATGTTTGATAGAATTAATTCTCCAAATGAAAAGAAAAAGTATCTTTTATCAAGAAATGATTATTGGGGTTTTAAACTGCTTTTATACTTATCAATTCAATTATTTTACATTAATGAACAATACAAATTTTCTAGAGTTCTTGTTCAATTTCAGAACATGCACCCGAAGTAAAAAAAAAATGATCTTTATGTTCCAACGATATCCTCTGATCCTCCTTTGAGGAACCAGTAAGTGGTTGATTACTATTTGGACCTGTTCAAAACTAGTGGTAGATTGGTTGCTTGGTTTTACCAAAGAAACAAAAAATTTACGTAGGTTTTTCTATTCCTCTTGCAAATATTATCTCAAACGATTAAGTCATATGGAAATTTGCTCTTTCCCATGGTAGATTAGAGAGACCCTCCTTTATTCTATGATGGCTTGATATATCCATGACAAAAGTTACTAAGAAATGAAACAAGCCTACTTCACAAACCAGTGGCTGATGAAACAAGATAACTTTTTTTTAATTTAGGTAAATCTCTATTCTCCTAGAAATTAAAATTTTATAGATATGATTATCACATCTACTAGAAAGTTGCCACCAACTTAAGTAGGGGTGTATAAACCGAACCGGAAAACAGCACCAAACCGAAAAGTCAAACAAAACCGTTTAACAAAATCAATTAGGTTTGGTATTGAGTAAAAAAACCCGAACCAAACCGACATATAAATTATATAATTTTTATATTCTTTTATGGCTTTTTATAGAATTTTCTTTAAAAAAAATATCTAGAAATATTTGCGATTCTCTTATGGGATGTAATATTTAGTTAAATATTTATTAACTTTAATTAATAGGTTCTATGATCACTTTCTTAGCAAGTGTTAGTGAAATGCGTCAATCTCTTTGTTCTTCCATATTCATATGTCAAGATCTATTGAGTTCTTATATCTTTTTCGAATTTGAAATGCTATTCGATATTTAAATAGTACATATCATTATATAGGTTCATATTTATTTTTATGTTTAATATTAAATTTGATTAACCTTGAAAGTGTACATCAATGTAAAATTATTGTTCGACGACTAAAAAGTAACTTTCATGTGTTACTAAAAAAATAATTCCATAAGAATATTTTAATATATCATATATTTGTTAATTTTTTTAATTTTTACTAAACATATATTTACTTATCAAAAATTCAACAAAGTAAGATTGAACTAATATTTATATAAAAAAAAATCCCAAAACACCCGACAAAACCGAACCAATCCAAACCGATATAGTTGGTTTGGTTTGGTTTTGATAAAAACCGAACCGATCCGGTCCATGTATACCCCTAATTAAACTTAAGAATAAAAAATTTAAGAACAAGAAGAACCAATTCTTACTAAAATAAGTCAATCAAGTGCATCATCTTGCATTTCAAAAAGTAATTCCATTTACTTTCCAAAACTGTAACTCCATTCACTTTCCAAAAGCTGTTTTTCCCTGACCTATTCTAACTAGGATTACTACATGTATAAATTACTTATAACCAAGCCCTAACGTGCTCTTCAAGCAGTACTTCTATTTTTTAGTTTCCAAATTTTTTGTTTCCCTAACCTATTCTAACTAGGATTATACTAGGCGCCTAGTATATATATTACTCCATCTTAATTTTAACCAAACTTTCACCACCTCATATTGTTACTTTCCAAAGCTTTTGCAAATCAACACATCAATGGCTGCATGCATATCATCATTAGGTCATGAACATTCATTTAAGAAGTTTGATGAAGTTTTCAAGCTGCCACAAAAGAGGTACGTCGACTTTTGTAACGATAATTATCAACTGGGGAATTATAGCAACAAGAAACTCAAATTTAGTCATGACAACCCTAGTCCAAAAATTTTGACTGCATCATCTTTTGACGAACTTCCCAAAGAAGACCCAAAGAAGCCACAATTAGGTGATGAACAATATTCATTCAACAAGTTTGATGAAGTTCTTGGGCTGCCCGGTTCACGAGGTTCTACCACTGTAGGGCTCAGTTGCCATTCTCCTATTACTCAAGTCGTCCAAGAGACAGAACCCTCGTACTGTAGTAAAAAATTACCAAGCCTAAAACTGGTGGCTGGATCTTTATATTTACCCAAAGAAAACCCAATGAAACCACGAGGTGAAGATGCTCACTTTATCCACAAATTATACCAAACAATTGGTGTAGCAGATGGCGTTGGTGGCTGGGCAAGTAAGGGAGTTGATGCAGGAATATACGCAAGAGAAATTATGAGAAATTCACTTATTGCCGTAGATATTAATGAACCAAAGGGTATTGTTGTGAACCCTAAAAGAATTCTTCAAGAAGCTTACAAAAACACAAATTCTGAAGGATCGTCAACAGCATGTATTATAACTTTGGACAGTGAGAAAAATACGTTATGTGCTGCTAACGTAGGTGACAGTGGATTTTTTCTGATTAGAAAGGGAAGAGTTATATACAAATCGCCAATACAACAAAGGAGGTTTAACTGTCCGTATCAACTGGGAAATGCTAAAGATAATCCTAGTGTTGCTCAAGAGATGGAAATAATCGTCGAAAAAGACGATGTTTTAGTAGTTGGAACAGATGGATTGCTTGATAATATGAATGAAAGTGAGATTGAGGAACTTGTTCAAAGAGGGATTGATGAGAAGTTGAAGCCAAAGGAATTGGCTAGTCAAATTGGAAATATTGCGTTGTATAATTCATTTGATAGGTTTGCAGATACACCATTTGGAAGAGCAGCTGAGAGGGAATGGCGAAGTCATAGAGGAGGAAAAGTTGATGATATTACTGTTATTGTTGCTTATATCCAGTGATTATTTTGAGAAAACGTCAATTGAAGAAGTTGATGGAGCAGAAAAGTGGAACCAGACAAGTACTGGAAATTAAAGTTTTTGTTAGGTTTTATTTTTTTGGTCTGCACTTGAACTCACTTTAATTAGTTTAGATGGACATTTTGGCCTGTAGATATTGCTAGCAAATTTTGTATAAACAATATGAATTATTTGCAATTATGGTTTAAAGATGAATACACAGATACAACAAGTTTTGTACTATTGGTTAGTGCTGAGCTATCCTTCATATATTTCCTCGAATAAAATTCAATATACCCCCTTAACTTTTAAGGGTTTGGGAAACAATACCCCCTCACATCACATTTTGAATGGAAAAGGGAACTCCCCTTATTGGAATTTTTTTTTTTTTTTTGGGAGTTTCTTTTTTGAAATAATTTCTCTCTCTCTCTCTGTCTATAAAGACTTTTTAATTCTTCCTTGAAAATTAAAAAGAAAGACTTTATATACCGTTGAAAAAATCCCAGAGTGATTGGTTATATTGAAATGAGAAGGCGCAGTGAATTAGTCGTAATATTAGAGAAACGAATGCTCAATCTCACTTATAAAGAATGGAAAAAAAATTAACATACACATAATTAATCATTAAATTGCCAATAATAATATATTTGTTAATCTATGGGTATTCACTTTGCTAAAGTAGGGTACCCGTCTGTAAAAGAACTTTTTCTTAATGTGAAGCATGTGATAGAACTTAACAAATCAGTCAAATGTTTATTGTCAAATTAATGTTCTTTTTTTTTTTTTTTTTAGGGGGGGGGGGGGGGGTGTTATAAGGTTTAGCCTGTGGTTTTGAGTCATCTAAAGTTTCATCATGACTCTTTTACATATCTGTAGAGCACAACTATAAAATGTTGCCACCAGCTTAATAATACACAATTTAAGAACCAATTCTAACAAAAATATGACAAACAAGTGCATCATCTTGCATTGCAAAATGGAGCAGTGACTCCATTTCTCTCCCATCCTTTTCCTTTTCCTTTTCTTATCACAAAATCTCTCCTTTTTTCTTTTCCTTATAAGAAAGGGGGTTGAAGTATATGAGAATGATGCATCAAATCATTAGCAGAACTCCAAGGTTCGGATCCTGTCGCATCTGGCTCACAGGATTTCATGCCGTCTGCTATTGATGTGGGCACCGATAAATGGTTCAATATTTCCGTTTAACACAGAAGTAATATCAGACAATTGGATGCCCGTCTTTATATCTTCTACCAGTTTGTTTGGGTGAAATACATACCTTCTGGCCACTTGATTCCAGCTACTAGAGATAGCACTACTTCTAACACTAGCCAAGTCGGAGACTCCCTGCTCCCTCATTACAATGAGAAGCTTTGCCTTTAATCTATTGAGGGCCTTCAGCTTATTTGCAAACCGGCTTCTTTCACCTACAAATAGTAGCCGTTACGAAAAGGAATGGACATTTTATGGAGAAGTTAGAAACAGCTCAATAAAGCACACACATAAATATAATTTGTAAAAGGAAAGCTAAATGTAAGGCATAAAACATTTAAGTAGATCAAATGTTCTCTCTCTTATTCCTGTTGTCACAAAACATTTTCTCACCAGATATACCAGAGCTCACTCTGACACGTCTGCTTCAGGGCAGGGAGGAAATCCATACCTTGGTCGAAAACATTGAGAAGAAAAAGAGATTTTAAGTATTTGTGTTGGACACCAATATCTTTGATCGTATCTCACAGCCATTAGAGAATCAATGGAATATAGGATAGTACCTCCAACACCTGCCTTGAATCTGTCAACAACATAGGAGCATACAATCTACTGCTGAATCTTGAAACAGAACCTTTTTTTCTCCACCCCAACATGTAAAGTATCACATTTTTGTGTAGAATGACTTTTGAATGACTGACGGACAAGAAATCTTTCAGGAATGATTCCAACATTCAATCAAGCAATCCTCTGAGTTCACTCAACAGCGGCATCATGAGTGCCAGACTTAATTAACGCGCCTATGTGATTAGATGACATATAACAACTTACATGTATTATATTGACTTACAGTGTTCTATCGGGTGCCTCATAGACATTTAACTTATTTGCTTGTTGATAATGTATCCAATCGTACATCTTGGAAACGAACAGTAGGAGTTCCCTATCAAGTCATATATCATGCCCATGATTTGAGAACCGTGCTTCTCAACATATAATTTTTCGGTTTCTCATATTGTTTTAACCTCGGAGAAAGGAAAACCAAGAGAGTTGCAAGGTATTTTCTTGCACCAAGTATTCTTGGTCAACATGCTTTGGAAGAGTTAAATTTGACACGCACTCATCAGTCTCTATTAGAGTGCCTCCATAGCAGTAACGCCACATCTCTGCCGTCAGCAGGAGTGAATACAAGAGCTTTTCTTTATCTTCACCAATATTCAGATGAATAGACACATTAAATAGAGTCTTCTTTATAAACATATACACACGTATATATGTGTGTATGCAGAAACCTTAAATAGATCATAGTGCAAAAACACTGAAGTAATAGGAATCATCCTACAGAACCAATGATATTCAGCTCAAAGATAGCCATTATTACCTGTTGATCGGACTTGCAATCCTGTTGGAATATGCTGAATGGTGAGTGAAGGCGATGTGTTGCTCTGTTCCTCTTCATATGATGGTCGTATCGTGATTTCTAGATCGCTTTCATCAATTGAGAGCTCAGGGGACGATTCAAGAAAAAGAGGAATAACATCAACAGCAGCAGTTCCGGCCTTCAATTCATCAGGCTTGATAACCTGTAAATTTTGTCGTTTTTAAGAAGATACTAGTATCTCATCAGATAGAATCTTGTGTTAATGTAAGGTACATAATCATTGGTCAACGAACATGAGCCGAATCATCATTCCTTAAACAGTCAGTTAAACACTTCAACAGCTTAAATTTCCTGCCTTCCTAACAGTTGAAACGAATTTCATTATTCATGATAAACAAATAGAGTTTATGAGGACATCACAGAGGATCACTTTACGTCTAAATAGAGGAGGATAAACAGAACTCTTGTTCCATTTCTTCCCGAAAGCAATACTTCACCATGAAAATTGCTAGCCAAGTGATTTACATTCCACCTTCTTGGCAAATGAAAGGAGGATTTGCTTTATTTTGATTGGGAGTTTATTATTAGGGAGAGAAGATTGTACTTTGAGTTATATGACTGTTTTCACTCCTTATTCTGCTAAACATTACAAACTCATATACACTGCTAATACCTTGATATTACGTCCAACTAAAATTTGAGCCTGTGTCATCAATCATCACGTTCTATACAAATGCTACTTCAGAGCTTGAAATACTTTATTTTTCTATAATATCACACCATGATAACTATATTATTTCTTCTCCCTTTTCAGTTAATGTGGACAATCACAGTTTCCTTCATAACATTAATGGAAGTGATCACATTTCATGAACTGAATTAGATTAAAGAGGATTTCTAACTAACTGTCAGTGACTGTGATTGATTGATCATGTCAGAGAAACTATATTAGAAGCAAAGTGCAGCTGGAACACTAAGATTTAAGCTGACAAATTATTTTCCTCTTCCTTTTTTTTTCACGAAACATAAAACGTATTCGCCATAAGAGGCTAATAGGAAAGCACGCCTAATAATTCACCAGAAACACATAACTCAAAAGGTTGAAGAGGGAATAGGAAAGGACAATCTTAGGAACACAAAGCGCATAATATAAGAATTTTATAATTCATATGGTCAACAGATAGCAAAGGGATAACTAAATTTGAGCTAAGTATATATCCTTAGAATACCTTTGAGAGGTCGAATTTATTTTCAGAACTTCCACTCATGTAATGGATTCCTCTTTCCCCTGAAAGATAGCCGTATGCTGACTTGAACTCTAACTCAATCATCGCATATTTGATACCACCACTCTCAGAATCTTGTTTCTCAACAATTCTCGCCTTATGACCTTGCTTTTCGGCCCATTTGATATACATTCTTGTCAGTTGTTCTGCCCAAATCTGGATCATAATTGGATAAGTGAGAAGCAGTACCACCTAAAATACATTGCAACCATACAAAACTAAATACCTATTAACTTTACACTCCAGTTACTATAATAGTCTCACATAGAATGAAACTTCTAAAGGAGATAAAGCTACCTCAACGTGAAGGAAAATCCATCTCTTTAACCTTGGATAAGCAGACTAAATAGACTCTCATGAGCTGCTTTTGGCCGAGTTGCTTATGATAGAAATGTTTTACAGACACAGGAGTAAAAGGCTAACCGTTTTTACTCTCTAAACTCAACTACAAGTATATATCTTATTGTGCATCACAGTGAAGAAGGTCTACAAGCTAGTACCACTTTTCTGAAAGTGAACCCATGCCCCTACAATTTCATTGTTTCCATAAAAGAACAGAAACATTTGGAAGTTCAGAATCATTTCCATGTAAAATACGTTTCATCACAATCGAAATTCAGAATTTTTTCAGGAAAAGATTCTATGCCACAGATTGACCATTAACTCTATGGTCTGAATGAGTTTATAACTAAAGCAGTAATAAGCTACTGCACTGATAATACATCTTTTTTAGATACAGAGATAGCGCTTGACCACCATAGGATCTAACCTGTAACTCCCTCGACAATCTAATTTGTCTTTGAACAGCCTTTCTTGCCATTTAATGATTAAATCCCAATAGCATAGCCAAAGGGAATAATATTCCCTTGTAAAAGCAAACTATCAATATATGCTATCTGTAGGCATACTCTTATTACCAATCAGATCCTCTATCGATCTATATGGTCTCTTACGGTGTGAGATGTATATGGGCCTTCGCTATCGACTCTGTAAGTATATGTGGCAACATAGCAAGACAGTGCAGATGAATACCTCTGAGTAAATGCCCTCATTTCCAGATTCAATGGTGACGCATGCTCCCTCCATATCATATGGCTCCCTAAGAAGTTTGGACAGTTCATACTTATCTAATGACTTATTCACACTGACACAGGCTGTATAGGCCTGCTTTAAAAACTCATAGTTGATAGAATCCATTCCTGCCAGCTCTGTAATCAGCTTAGCTTCTTCAGCCTGCAGAATCACACTCAATCAAATAGAATCAAATAACATGCTTGAGTATTAAAGTTTTTCCTTTGAAGTATTAACAAACAAGGCAATAAACATATGGTGACAAGTGAAAACAAGCTTTGAGGACATGACACCTTGTATCGAAGGTCTTTGAGGGAATCAATGGCTTTAGCGCTCTCAGCTAATCGCACAAGGTCTTCATCTGACTTGGCTACATCATCCCACAAGTCATACTCACGAATAACCTCTTCCTGTTTGAGGCGTCTTGCTTCTTCAAATTCTAGTGCTGTTGGTGTCAACATCTCAGCACGGAGTACCAAATCTTCAATCTTCCTTTTCAAAGCGAATGTACCTACATCATGAAACCATCAATACCACCAACATTTAACAAACAATTACCTACTGTATATGCACTAGAATGCAAAGATTCTATTGCAGTAACTAGATACTGTGTATAAACTTATGTTACGCCGAATTGGTTTGATATTAATGGAATTTATTTGATTTATCAACTAAAAAGGGAAAATTGTATAGCACTGACTCGTAAATAAATGTAAAATACATACTCATTAACTGGACGGTGTAAATGCCTTAACATCCCTTTGCTTAAACACAATTGTGTATTGTATACCTTTTCTTATTGAAATCGTAGAATATGAATATGTTGGCAATTCTAATTGGATTGTGTTTCATTCACATGCTTCTTTACAAGATTCTTTTTATCTGTTCTGTGTTTCCTACCTTTAGAATCTCCACCTTATGTTCTCTCAACAAAACTTTGTTCATCCAAAAACCATTAAAAACTGTTAAGGAAGAACTCGCCCAACCCCACTTTGACGGATACTTCACTTCCCCTATCGGGAAGGGCAGTTGTGAAATGCCTATACCCTAACCAGACCTTTACACTTCCTTCCCAACCTTAGTTTATCATTCTCATTCACTAAGAACTTGGAAAGTTTCTAGCTTTCTTTCAATTAGCCTGCTTACTTGTCTTTCACTCTTTCACTGAGCTTTCTCCACCTCCGTCCTCTCAACCACTAATATTTTCACACTACTAGTACTAGCACAGGCAATCAATAACCCAAAGTTGTTGAATTCATACCAAGTACAACAACCTCGTAAAACAGGAGCATTAAGTAGGTAGTCTACTTAGCACTACCAATTACAAATTTATGATATTTAAAGAACCACTGCCAGCAACAACAACAACAACAACAACAACAACAACAGAAAAAGAACCCTTGATATAAAGGCAAAGTAAATGACTTGACTGTGCCAAATTCACTTGCCACAAAGAAAGAGCTACAATTATTAAGCTCTGATATAAATGTTGAATAGGGTGACCACTTCATCTAATAAAAGCTGTTTAGAGCAAAGAAATTCAAATTTACTAAGTTTACACTCACTTATGAAGCTCTTTTTTCTCACATGAATGACTCTGACAATGAATCTGAATTTCAGCTAAAACTTAAAGAAGATGGTTGTTTTACTTATTTATTTCAAAAAGTTAAAGTAAAGCGTGAGCAGAGAAGAGGGAAGAAAGAGAAGGGAAATTACAGACCAAGCTCCTTGTAGAACCTGTTCTTGTCATCTATATGCTGATTATTATAAGCTCTAATTCTGAAAGCAAATATCCTTGAAGGAGAAGAGGAACAACTAGCTTCTGCTCGTACAGAAAAAGGGTCAGCAGCCATTTTAGCCATAGTATACAGTTAGTAGTAATGGTGGTGGATAAAATAAGCTTTCTTGAAATTCCGACCGCCGCGAAGAACACGCGCTTTGGAAAGTGGGAAGTGGGAAGTGGTGTTGGGGCTGTGCACGTGCCACATTCCTGTTTTTATATTTTTCTATCTATGGTGTTGCTCTTACTTTACTGTCGTCTAATTTTATTTTTTTATAAAATGAACAAAAAAAATTATTGTTTCTTCTCCAGATATTTTCTTTTGTCCGATTCTTCTCCAGATATTCAAATTAGGGACAACTACTATATCATTTCCATCAATTGACGCTACCATTCAGGTTTAAATTGTTACGGTACTTAAAAATCAGAATGAAAAACCTAACCAATTGTACTACTACAAGGAATGACAGAAGTTATTTAACAAATCGTATTGTTACTTTAAATATAATATTTCTTTTGGTTGTTACTTAAATTTTATTTTATCGTATCCTTAGATCCGTAATTACGAACAACAAAAAGTGTCAATTTATGGAACGATCGATTTGGTATGGTCACGTCGTTACCTCTCTTTTTTCTCATCTTCTTTATTTCTCATCTTACCCTTGTTTATTATTTAATAATCCTATTTTATCATTTACCCTACCTTTTTATATAATACTAATATTACCTCTGTTTACCCTTAAAAATGGATAACAGTTGAATTTGGACGCGGTTTTAAGGATATGTGGATTAATTCAATACAAGTGATCAATAACATTAGATAGACGAATTAAAGATAAAATAAATAATCAAATCAGTGGTGGTACTAAATCCGGGCTCAGATCTAAGCTTAATAATCATTTTGCCCTCGATTTGGATATATATATATATATATATATATATATATATATATATATATATATATATATATATATATATATATATATATATAT